CTGTGAATTTAGGCAGATCATGAGAAGGAGGGCAGGAAAGGTTGCCTCAGTGCTTAGTTCTTGTGGCCCTTTCTTACACGCCAAGGGAAATGCTGATCGCCACTGTGGGGTCAGGAAGCAATTTTCTCCAGGCCAGTTTGGCTGGAGATCCTGGAGATTTTTTGCCATCTTCTGGGTGTGGGAGCAGGGGATTGGACTAAATGACCCTGGAAGTCCCTTCCAACTCCATGATTCTATGATAGTTACGGCATAATGCTTCACACCCCCATTTTAGAAATGTTTTTAGTAAACAATGTTGAGTGTTCTCCAATAGCTTTGGGGTCATCTTGACCACCAACTGCACTCAAAAGTTGAAGACATAGAAAGAATGTAATAAAAATACTGCTAAACAGTTGATGGGGAGTAGAAAAAACTTAAAATCATACCCAAGGCAACATACAAGGATGAGGAACTAATATGTATACAATGCTGCCTTTCTTACATTGGCCGTGCTGTGCAACATCCCCCCCATCATACAATACTAAAGTGAGGATGCTGAAAATGACTTGTTCAGGCAATTCTTCACCCTCCAGAATTCCAATCAGGTAAGTGGCTGGAGGACATGTATAAGCAACGTTGCTGAAGGTAAGCATATCAAGGCCTGGTCATTACTTAGATGGGACACCTCCTGGAAACCCTACATAAAACAGACTTGTCCCATGTCAGATAGAAATACAGAGTGGAAGCAGACATGACCCACACACTCACTCCTGCATTGCAGGAAGTAGCAAGTAACGTAGATCCCACATGTTATTTCAATGAGGCATTTCCCAGCCTTGAGAGAGGAGATCCATTTCGAAGGCTGTGGATGCAAGAAAATGTGAGAATTACCTTTGAAGGATCAGGCCAAGGGCCAGCACTCTGTCGACAACAGCCAGATAGACTAGAGCAAATCTCTCAACAGTTTTACAAAAACCTTACCCGTATCTTGCCTTCCAGGGCAGAGATGATCTCTCCCATCATCCGGACAAGATCTTCGTATTTATATGTGTTGTCTGTCAACCAAACCGCTTCCCGTATTGTCAAAATCTCTTTGCTGATAAAGCTGGAACATAAAGAGAAGTCAGCGGTAAAGCCCAAACAAAAGATAAACACCGCATATCTCACCCCATTAATTTTGCCAGATAAGTTACTCTTTCATTTCCAGGGCCCAGCCTGACATACCTCACAGGGTTGCTGTGAGAATTAAATGGCGAAGAGAAGAACGTTGTTAAGCCACCTTGGATCCCCATTGGTGGAGGAAAGTGGGATACAAATAAAGTACATAAATAGCAAGCATATACATGTACATTTGGCAGGATCATCCAGCAAGGTTCCAAGGCAGAGTGGGGATTTGAACCTGGCACCTGATTGGTAGAACAGAACAAGACCTACAATTCCATTTACGCACTTGCATTTACACCTTCCCCCCATCAAACAGCTTTTTGGGAAAGCTACTGAACTCCATGCACCAAGCCTCAGCAAAAGGCATCAAGGGACAACATTAGTCACCACGGGAACAGCAACTAACATGTACGCAAATACACACGGCTTTCCCAGACCACAGTTTGGTCTCACGGGGACAGGCCTTTTCATTAAAAGACACAGACAAGCCCCAAGTAAACAGCCCAGCTTCTTACCGTGTACAAATAACCATGCATGCAATTCCCAAAAGCTGAAGACGAGCCCGGGGCACAGGCCTGATTTTCAAGTACCGGTCTACACAGCCCACTGTCATGTGGAGACAGAGGCTGGAGAAATCCTTCATCGTGGCCACTTCCACCAGCCAGTCGATCAGAATGTACCTAATGAGAGAAACAAGGGATACGCAAATGAGGAGAGCTTCTTGCAAGAGACGCTCACCC